CATGTGTTATGTATCCATAAATCTTGACATATCGTTCCTAGATTGACGTGTATACATTAAACAAAACAAAAAGGGCCTAGATAACCGGGGTATACAGTTTAAAATGTTAATATATTTAAAGTGTTCAAAGTGCAGTTTCAGTTCAAGTCAGTTGAAACGATCTTAAGTTGGCGTGACGTTGAAGTCGTGCGACCCTGCTGCTGTACTGGCTTGTAGTTCGTTTATAGCATAACGTTAGCATTTCGCTTTTGGCGACTAGATTTAAGATTCAAAAATTATAAAAGTAGGGTTGACATGTGGAGATTATCCGGCTGAACAAAACGTGATCCCTTTCTTAAATGTGTGTCAACCACAGACCTTATTTCGAGCTATTTTCCTAAATCCTATGGAGAATTTGCATTGGTTTTTCGCGAAGGAACCGGAAGAAGTTTACTTCCGGGTTTTACGACGCGTCACTGCGGTTCTCTATGACCAGTCGCCACTGTTCTTAATTTGTTTTTTTATCCGTGTGCAACGCCTTGATAACCTGCCACTGCTGTAACAATTCCCAATGTGGGATCAATAAAGTAAACATATCTATATCTATCTATCCTATTTCCTCTTCCATTTAATTTCTTTCCTTGACCAATTTGTCATAAGATACGTTCATGTGTGAGACATGATATGATAGCATGTTTCTGCTATGCAACAGACGGTATGATAAAAGGTTGGACTGGAAAATAATTCATGTTATTAGACAATTCGAGGAGATCAGTGCCAGTATAATGAGTGTAATTTACAAACTGAATAAATTGTTATTAGCAATGAGCTGCAGTTATATGAAAAGTCAAAAATGTTTGCATTCACCAAATAGGCATTACATTGGGGTTATTTAGCTTGACTGGGGAATTTAAACCGATTTGCACTGAAGCTTATTTAATTTATTTTCTTTCAAAAATCAAGATAGAGAGATTTTCAGCAATACATATGTAAATGTTTTCCTGAGTTGTTTGCCACTATCCTCACCTTGTGTTGCTGTTCAATCTCAGATAGTTGTGATCGTGTGATTCTGGCATCATTCAGCAGGTTCTCATTGAACACCTCCCATTTTCCTGTGGTCACCATTTCATTCGCCTCGTCCTCCGTCACATCCCTTCCAGATACCTCCAGCTGCCGGATATTGAAATGCTTACAGCGCTCCTGCTTCGTCAGCAGACCTTCATTATACTGCTGCATTACCTGGACATAATTATAGCAAAAAGAGAGAATCAAAAAAAGAAATTGGGAGCGGGAATGAAAAATGATAAAGTATTTGAGTTCTACCTTGCTGGTTCTGGCTCTGCTATGCGACTCATACAATTCTGTTAATTTGTATTATTTATATAGTGCTCTACGTTGCTCACAAATAAGCAAAGTTATATGAGCACTTGTGGATTTAATTATCTGATTATCCAGCAGTTGGTATGATCTTGCTTGAAGTGAATATATCTGCACTTTCCTTGTTGTTCGGTATTTTGATTCTTTATGGTTTTTGCACCTATTGTAAGTCACTTTGGATAAAAGTTTCAGCTAAATTATATGTAATGTAATACGAAGTATAATAGTATTGGTAGGGTCATCTTCTCAACCTGCTGGAATTTGGAGTGCAATGATGCATGCTGGGAGAGTTGTATTCTGGTTGTAACAGCATTAGTTCCCAGTTGGTCCTCAGTCCTTTGGACCTGTTTTGAAAGAGCATCCAAGCGTCGATGGAGGCTCTCGGCCTTGAGCTTGATGTCCCGGGTTATACTGCTCTCCTTCTTCATCACACTGAAACGACGCATGGTTGCAACCAGGGTCTTTTGCTGCTGTCCAAACTTAAGGACCTGTTTGTGTTTAAGAATAGACAGAAAGATCTCTTCAGCAACATTTACATTTGCATGATCAAACAGTCTTATTTTATATTATTTCTGATAAGTTAAATATTTTAACAAATAAAATAATCAAAGAAAACAAAGAATGTAATTTTAAAAAATGTAGCAATGGCAATCCACCCTCCGTTAATAGCCATAAATGCATTACATAAAACATCAATTTAGATAATTGCAAACTCCTTTGAGAAAACATTTAAATAAATGACCTCTATGTCCAGCACTGTGATATCATCTCTGATTCGCTGGGCCTCAAACAGGAAATTCTTAATGACTGGCTCTTCCTCGAACATCACAGCCTGTGGCGTTATGGCCGCCATAGAGTCGTCATTATCAACCTCTACTGAGGGAGGGAAGCTGTTCTCAGATGCTGCCTCAGAAAAGTCTTGAGCCCTCTTCCGCAGCTCCTCCAAGCGGTCTCTCATCGTGGAAGAACTTTCACCAAAGCTTCGTCCTCAGGACTAAAAGTTTTTTTAGAATGTGATGTGTTGTCAAATCTGACGAGAAGTAGCTGAAAAATAAAAAGAACATAAAACTTTAATGATTCCTGTCCGTAACGGGATTTTTGCAGAACATAAACATCGGAAAACAAGGCAGTAAAAAAAGAGACCATTGACAGTAAATAATTTAATGAAAAGGATCACATCAGCTCTTGGTAAACAGGTTAGAGTTACAGTGAATGAATGGATGGCATTATCAATGAATTGTAAAAGAGCAATTTAGTGGGCTGCACATTTCTGAATTATTCCGGCTACAGATTTTAAAGGGATATTTTAGATAATTAGTCACATTACAACATTCTACAATATATGTTTATGTATTTGGTTGGTATTTTCACAGGTTATAAATAACTAAAAACTGGCAGGTAACACTACATTCAGGAGTCATCTAAGTTTAGTTGTTTTAACAGTGCTTTAGGATTTAGGTGAATGTGTTTAATGGAAAGTAATGTAATGAGTACTCTAGCTATAATCAGTGTGCTTTGAGTATTTAATGTCATGACATGTTCATTGTTTACCAAGCAGCTCTGTTTACCACAAAATTACGTACACATACAACAGTTTTGTATCAGTTTTGTATCAAGGGAAATATGTTATTTCCCAGTATTACTGTGACAATTTTAAACATATGGTTATTAACATTGTAAGGTGAGACATAAGCAAAATGTTGAGTAAGAGATTATGGTTTAATCATGGTGTAGCTGCATAGGAAGTATATGGGAAATAGACTAGAGACTAGAGACTAGACTGTACCAAGAGTAGTAAATTACCAGACTTACATCGCTGGTAAAAACAACTACTTGGTTGAATGAATGCATTATGTGAAACCACTGTGTTCACTTCTGGGGTATAGCTTCAATTATGCCCAGGTACATTGACATAAGTTGATCAATAAACTGCATGAAATAATTTCAAGTGTTTTTCTGAAATAAATACCTTATATATTAAAAGCCGAAAGAAATACAGAACAAATAAAGTAAAAATGGCACATGCACTTCACTGTACATATAGATGCTATCCAACAAAGAAAGTTATATGGGATGGGAATTACACAAATAACCGTTATTTCAGTAATGACATGCAAGCTGTCTCCTACACTTGCAATTTATATAACTAATGTGTTGTTCCAGGTACATAATTTCTGCCAGGATTGGATGTAAGTGAACATATTTTCCAGGAAAGTGGATCATTATCGCTCCAAAAGAGTGCTATAAGTTGAATAATGAGTGGATATGGTATTGCAAGAGTTGATATTATAGGAAAACAAATACATTACGTTTTTTTACGCTTTCAGGAGCAATATTGTGCCACTTGCTAGATATATTTATTTAAATTCAAAGTATGCATTAAAATTAGCTATAAACTTAATTTTTCAAAGAAACAGGACACCCAAGTCCTAAAAAATGACCAAATACAGTTCAAAATGAAGGGAAAAGTGAACTGTGCACCCTGGTGTGGCTGGTAGGAGTCAAAGCCAGATCAGTTTTTGTTTACATCATTATAAGTTCATCTGTCTGAGCATAATGAGCCGTATATGCACTCTGCTGTATAACTGTATGAAAAACAACCTGAGCATAAAGTTTATCGTAGACATCACTCAAATTGACTCATGTTCCTTTCCCTATGAAACCCGAGTAGGTTGTCAGAGCAGGTTTGGTAAATACTACTTATTTACTTAAACTAAACAGAAAAGAAAGGCTGCAATATGTCAATTCCGACTGCTGTTTACTAAATATGTAAAATGTTGAAATTAAAAATAGATATCTTAACAGCAACTGCTGAGAAATAAGCGACTTGTTTAACCTCCAAGTATTTAACTCCAGCTGATAAGTTCTAAAGCTGAAGTAAACAAGTGAGGTGCTTGTGATTCAAACCGTGCGATACAGAATCTGATTCCCTGTATGCCTTTGACGAGTGAAACACATTCAACTTTAAATTCCTTTGCATTCAAATAGGCATACAAATGCATTCCCTTAGCAACACAGGGATTTGGGTTTTAGAGGCCGTAAACATAATCTGCTGCAAGCACATGATTGTGTGGGGGAAACAGAGTTAGAAATGGAGCATTTCGAATCACAGCCTATCCCATTTCTGGATACATTTCAAACAGGAAAGACCCTATTTTGTGAGTGTGTGTGTGTGTGTGTGTGTGTGTGTGTGTGTGTGTGTGTGTGTGTGTGTGAGTGGAGTAGGAGGAGGAGGATGGTTGTAACCATTACAAACCTCTCAGAGCTTAAAGCATGTAAAAGTATCCATAATTTCCTTGTTTGAACTCTCTCCCCCACCTTCTCCTATTTCTCTCCCTATACCTGCCCGACCCAGAAGAGAGCCGATTTGTTTTGTGTTTACCCTAAAAACCTGGAAGAAGTCGAGCAAGGTTCGTGAGGGAGTCTGGCTGCTCTCGATTGACAGTTTTATTCTATAAAACAATATGACTTCCAATATTTTCTTCAATCTACTCATCTGCTTCTTAGTCTGTTTTTCTTATGGTAATTTCATGTTGACATTCTCTCATCTCCATTCTGGTGGAACAAAAGCCTCCAAATGTTGTCTTTAAAATTTAACAAGACAAATGATTCTGCTTAAAATAGTCCAAAAGTCAACTGTAAATCAAGTCTTACTTGCTCAAGATAGTCTATCTTTTAATAGATAAATGTAATTCAACATAGAAAAAAAAGACCAAATACAGTACAAAAACCTGAGTATAATCTCAATGTACAGCACACTTTTACACACATTAACAGTCAGAGGCTGGAGAACATTGAGTCAGAAATGAAGATGTTACCTTGATGTTAGAATTCCATCATGGGTGTCCTGCTGAGTTTTCCCAGAGTTCACCAGGAACATAATCCAAAACAAGTTTACACATTCTTTGATATCATTACGTCATTTTCAGATCTCCTTGCTTTCACTGTAACTGCTAAACTACCAACAAGCAGGGTACGTTTTTGAAGAAGTTTGGTTGAGTCATATTCAAGCACCTCCCCTCCTTTTGAAGCCAATAGGAAAGCAGCACACTGAAGGACCATTTGCTTATCTAAAGAAATGAGATGTGACGTGATTAAGTAAATGAGGAGGGGGAGAGGCAGCGCAGGGAGCCCATAAATCCTCCCCTCAGGCTTAGATAAAAAAAAGTGAAAAGCAAATAGAATTGTATTGTGTGCATTGCTAAGGACAAACAATGGGCAATGCGGTTAAAGTGTCAACCAAGGCCTTTGGTTTCCTTTCCGCCAGGTTAATTTCTATGTGAAGTGTCTGGGTTCACGTGGTAAGCCCTCTTGGTCTGGGGGTATTGTACTCCTTTGGCCCCAGTAACTTCGCTGAGTACTTTTGACAGATTTCTACTGACAAGCTCTCTAAAACCCGGGCGCCTTTTCAACACCGAAAGGGTCCCAGTCACTCTTTGCTATGCAGCATAACAAGCTGTGAAAAAGCTGTTTGAAGTAAGCCATCAGAGGGAGAGAGGGAAGACAAGTTTTTAGGAGGAGAAGAGTTCGACAGGGGCAAGAGTTCAGTCTTCGTTACTTGGAACTTTGCAGGCTGGTAGCAGAATATCTGTCACACTCCCACCCCTACTTCAAATGTAGCAGTCATGATGTTAGTGTGATGGCCAAGGATGTGTGGGAGAATACACAAAAAAAGTCTCTGCGAAAGGTATTATTGGGTTCACGGTTTCATGGGTCCTATTTCCAACTTAGAACATTTTAATCCTCTAAATAAAGTTTGTAATCAACAAAAATTGGCAACAGCAATATCACTAGCATCAAATACTCTCAAGTTGGTGGTTGTGTGTCGCTTCAGTGAGAAATAAAAAAACACATTAACCATTTGATGACTATGCAGAATGCTGAGTTTTTATCTCTGTTGCACCAGATGTTACCTGTCTGTAATAATGCCGCAGCGGTGTGTAAACTGTGAGTCATCTATCCCTTATGGCAAGATATTATGACAACAAAGCAAAACAGGTTTTTCTAGTGTCAGTATTCGCCTTCATCAGCATGGCGGGAGCAAGCTAATTGTGTGTAAGCCTGTTTCCTATGGTTGGTCAGTCATCAGTATCACTGATTAAGGAGAACAGGTTCAACGGGATTTGCTCTCATTTCATGATTTCTTAATTGCTCTACTCTATCTGTGCAATTTAGACATTCTTTGATAAAACCACAGGCGGTGCCAAGCACTGCCAACTCTTTTTTTTAACATTTATATTTTATTAGACATTTTCAAAGACAAAAACATAAGGACAAGGACATGGTTCATACACATCACAAACAGGACAGGACAATAACATGAAGGGTGGGGGGTAGGGGGATTACAGTTAGATGTTATGTATGCATATGGCGTTGTATTTATATATGATTTGCTTCACAATATAGATATACTTAATTTTTTCCTCATTATTATTATAAAACAAAAAAGGTATAATCGATAAATAATTAAATAAATTGATAAATAGTCAAATAACTAAATATATATATATACAGGTATATACACACACATACACATTTCTTCCTTTTCTGATTAATTCACCTATTCATCCATTACCCATTTAATTTCACTTCTTTCGTTATTTATAACCATTAGTTTTCAGCTTCTTCATAGCTTATTTCTCTATATTTATTTGTATTTATTAATATTATTATAATTATTATATTTCTTGTTGGCACCCGAGATGGTTTGAGGCCAGGAAAGCCCTTATCTTATCCCAAAGCCTGTTGTCTGGCTTAACCGTATAACAGTGAGAAAGCAGCCTATTCCATACTTAAGATGTTTAGGAAGTCCTCCAGCCATCTACAGTATTTAAATTGAAGCAGTTGGGCTTTCTGACTTTCCAGTTCATAAGAACGAGGCGTTTGGTTGAAAGGCATGCTAGCCCTCTTCCCACATTACAAATAAAAAAATATATATATTTTTTTAATTTTAATTTTTGATAAACAAGGTAAATATTATATAATTGGTATCACTAAAATGTATAATCTACAATAAAATCT